AACAATAATTTCCATTGCAAAGGTTGTCACCTCGTTGGGAGATGAAATGCCCAAAATAATGAAAAATCTTTTCTTGAAGCTTCCAACAATTATCACAGTAAAACATATTAGTTGCAAAAGTTGTTTAATTAATTAGTGTTTCACACAGCCAAGATAAATTATTTTTAATTAAATCTTTGCTCATAAAAGATTTTTCTCAACCAAAAGCCAATTAGTCAGGAGTTACATTTTTTTGGCAACTGTATAATATATATTGAAAAATAATACGCGATAAAAATTGAGGAAGCACGTCGACATTAATTTACGAATTAATGAAACATCATAACGTTTTTTAGCATTGCAGCATTGCATCGAACTCCAAGTTGCCCATAGCGTCGTCTGCTGGGCTTTGATGAGCTGCACACCACGTGGTACGATGGCAATAATAAAAAATTAATATTATCGGAGTATGATGAAAATAGAATTTCCGAATTATTGGAAAAATAACGTCAAAATATGTGGTTAAAAAGTTGTAATTGATAATAGCAAAAAATTTAATAATAATAGTTTTGACAACGATCGCGTATCCTTTAGCCCGCCGGTTCGACGATGACTGCGTCGTTTGCGCTGTCTCGCGTTCCTCGCCGGCCCGTCTATCGATTTTTCCGCGCAGCCTCCACAACTCTGAGGAAGAATAAAATCGACGGAGAGAGAAAAGTTAAGTCCTCCGGCTTTCTTCGTCTGCTCGTTCTTGTTCATCAAAATCCTGCTGAGTGAGTTCTTGCACCTGTGGACTCGTGTAGAGCTTGCGTAAATTGGCATAAACAATGTCAACATAATAAATATATTATTCATATATATGACTATTAACTATTCAATTTAAATTAATTTTATCCCACATCTCCAAATATTTACCTACCGAAAGCCAGCCAATATTTGTTTTTAAAATAAATTAATTTTTTTTATTAACAACTTTGATAATTTATTTACAGATATTTGTTTTATTGTAAAGTCCGTTAACAGTTAAATCTACTCAGCATTTAAATTTAATAACGTCCATGCTGGGGGGGGAAAAATTAATTTCATTTTTTCCTCTCTTAGCTTTATTTTAATGATGTTTTCTCTGACCTAATAATTAAATTTTTATAAATTGGGTTATTATTAAGTTGATAAGTATATTACTCTATTTTAAGCCATAAAAGGTTTAAAAGCTTATAAAAAATAAACAATCAAATAATTTTCCTTGATATATTATTTATCAGACATTTATAAAAAATGATATAAAAATACATTTGATAAGAAAATAAATAATGCAACTGTTTTTTTTTTTTTTTTTTTATCGTAGTAACCTTTTTCTTGTTAATCTCACAAAAATTTTGACCCTTTTTTATCTCCTGAATATACTGGAGATTGATGGAAATAAGCTTGTAAAAAAATAACATTTTTCTACAAACCTCAAATTCTAGGTCTGCGGCTGATTTTGTGGGATGAACATTACGTGTAAGTTTTATACTTCCGTCCACCCGGCAGTAGTCAGTTCAGTTTTTAGTCAGACTTTACGAAAGTGATTGACTAAACCACTTGAGAGCGATGCATGATTTTTTTTAGTAAAATAATTAAGTTGAAATTTAGTCGTTTAAGATTTCTGCACGGAGAAAATTTTATAGTTGAGTTTATTATCTAGCTATGTTAAAATCTATTAACTGAATTCGATAGCAGTAAATATTATTTAAATAACCCGTGTAAAAAAAATCGTCTTAAAATTGTCTTAAAGTTGTCGTTCGTATCACATGTAATTGTTGGCCGAGGCGAAGCCGAGGTTGACAAACATGTGGTCTGAGGCTTTACTTTTTTCTGCCCTCCGGCCGGAAAGTGGCAACTTTCTGGCCGCTGCGTCGAGCAGAAAAATAGTATACACACCTTGGCCAGTAAAAAGTAAAGCCTCAGACCACATGTTTGTCAACCTCGGCTTCGCCTCGGCCAACAATTACATGTGGTCTGAGACTTTTCTTATTTTACTGGCCTAGGTATGTAATATACTATTTATATAGTCTTGAAAAATCTTAAATTAGTCTTAAAGAAATCTGAAAAAAAAAATATTAAAAATTTTTTAGGCTATTTTCAGATAACATCACAGTGGCAGTTCCGGAAAATTATTATGGAGCGTCTTTAAATTGTCTCAAAATTATCTTAAATTAGTCTTAAAAAAATCAACAAAAAATTTAGACTATTTTAAGATGGGCTAACAGCGACAGAGCCCCGGAACATTAAAACGGAACGTCTTAAAAAAGTCTTAAAATTGTCAGATAATAATTTTTTAACAATTTTAAATTCAATTTAAAAATATCTTACTCAAAAATATTGCGGTTAGAAAGTCGTAAAATCATCTAAAAATTAATTTTCACAACAAATTCGAGAACAAAATTTTCAAAAATCTGCCCTCGGAATTTTTCTTTTGGCGTCTTAAAAGAGTCTTAAAATAGTCTTAGTTTGTGTCACGTTTAAGATCTTAAACGAACGACAATTTTAAGACAATTTTAAGACGATTTTTTTTACACGGGAATTAAGTAAACCATCTGAATTGTAGTATTTACCATCCTGATGGTAACTACTACTATAATGATGGTAATCAGTAATAATTACTATTATTTTAATTAGTTACTACTATTATCAAAATCGTAATTCCTAATATAATCTGATGGTTGTAGTTACCATCAGTAATAATAATAACTACGATCTAAGCTAGTAAAAAATATTAAAAAAATTAAGAATCTGCGTTACCGTGGATGCATTTCTGAATGAAATAAAAGCAGCTGCAGTGCACAAAAAATCGGGATTGAATTCGGATTGAAATTATATTTAAATTTTTATTTGTCTAAAGCAAGTTTCAACGCCAAATTTAAAAAAAAATTTGAAATTTCCAAAAAAATCAAAATTTTTAATAAAATTCAAATTAAAAAAAAATTAAAATTTCAAAAAAAAAATTTTTAATCTTCAAAAAAATCAAATTTTCACAACAAATTTTGAAGGGAATTTAAAATATTTTAATATTAAAAAAAAATATACATTTAGTAAATTTTTATTATTTTTTCTTTCAGAATTTTTACAATCTGAGATGGTTAAAGTTACCATCTTCGATTGTAACAGTTATAATTTATAATAATTACAATTATTATTTTCGATAGTAATCGTTAGCATTACTAATAGTAACTATTACAATTGTCAATGATACCACCTATTATTTTGTTACTAATTTATTTTATTACCATTTTAGATAGTAGGAATTACTATTTTTGTATAGTAGGTCGTATAATTAATTTTTCTCCGTGTGTATTTTACATTTTATTTAAAATATTTTAAAATGTTAAACACACGAAACAATTATTTGTATATGGGTTTGGTTTGGTAATGATTAATTAACAGATAATAATTCCAAAACTTCAGTTACATAAGTTTAATAGCATGCATAAGTTTCTAATGAGTAAATAACAATAATCATGATATGAACTAATGAATAAATGATTTAGAATTAAAAATTAACCACTTGATTAATGTTTTCTTTTAAAACTCTTTATGTATAAAAACATTTCTTAATTAGCGAGCAATGTTGTTAACGATTGAAATGTTGTTGACGTTTACTATATTTTAAAGTATTATTTGTTTATTTTTTTGCAATGACATTTCGATATAGAGTTCATTGTCAGCTTATTCAATCCATCTTTCAACATTCAAGAAACGACAAGTATTTTACAAGAAGTGTCAGTTGAAAATTTCGTTGTCAAATATTAAATTTAAGAACTGAAATTGAAATCGCTATGCACAATTGAAAACAATTTTAACCCATATTTTGGATATTTACAGAATAAAAGTAACGCGAAGTACAATTTTTTATTTTGTATTATAAAATTAATAAATTTTACCCTCGTTATTTTTTTTTTAAACAGACATTTTATACTTTAATATTTATCAATGTGCGATGATAAAATATACGAATAAATCTTATAAATATTCCAGTCATTCTATTTTTGATCATAAAAACATATTACAATATCATTTCCCAGTATGTTATTAATCATGCTAAACAGAAAAAGCTTTTGGTACCATAGAAGTTTTTAAGAATTGGCTCTTTAAGCTTTTATGAGAGATGAAAATTAAAATTTAATACTTTGCAGAAAGTCGATAAAAAATTTTATATCAGTAATCAAGAGTAAAAAGTACTAAATGACATATTCCTAAAACGTAAGGGTGTATAGAGCAAGATTTACGGCTTTTTTTTAAATAGCAGTCCGCCCCAATCAGCCCCGGCTTCGCACGGGTAATTAAAAAAAATTTCAAAATCAATCATAATATAATATAGCCTATGTTACCCGGGAATAGTGTAGCTTCTCAACAGTAAAAGAATTTTTCAAATCAGTTCAATAGTTTCAGAGCCTATTCATTGCAAACAAACAATCAAATCTTTCCTTTTTATAATATTAGTATAGATTATTATAATCTTGGATTGAAAATATTATAAATATACTCGATTTTATTTAGAAATTTGTAATTATATACAAATTAAATACTTTGAATTTCAAATTAAATGAGTGTAAACATTGGTCGATGTAATGATGTACTTTTACATACTTATCACCTTACTGATATGGCGTTGCAGATGCTATAAGAGTGTAGACGAGCAAAAGAGACCATTAAAAAGGTATATAGCGACGTATAAAAAAATTTTTTTGAGGAATTGGCGAAATTATGTTATAAATGTTTGAAATCTTTATTTTTTTTTTCTTCAACATTTGAAACTTTATACTGAAAAACAAATTTTATCTGTTTCGTGATGGTAAATATTATTAGCAGTAATTGTAATAGTTGTTATATTTTATGTTAGTAGTTATTGTCCGTGATAATAATAAACGTAGTACTGCGATCTTTGAAGCTGGCGATTTTATGTAGGACTCCGATTCTATGTAGTTCCGGGGCAGCTAATGCCTTGGTGATTTTTTATATTGTGTGGGGGTATTGTGGGAGTCCTACAAAAAATCGCCAGCTTCAAAGGGCCCTTGGAAGGATTTTATCTTAAATTTTTTTTTCCAAGTGTAAGTTTTTGGGGTGGCTGGAGGGGTAGTTTTTGTGTTTTGAGGAGCTAATATATCATTTTTAGGGCTCATTGTCTCTATTCGAAACTGAAAAACCGTTTTCAGTTTCAGGAGCAAAAAAAATTTTTTTTTGATTTTCGTTCATAAATGAACGTTCGGAACTTCAGGTACATGATTATTATCGCTATAACTAATAATTTTAATAAATTAAATTATTAATAACATACTCCTTTTGATGATCCAGTTAATTCTTGAGATGTTTCCGCTGAGTCTTCTTTATCATTGAGCTTTATAGATTCACTATTACTACTTGATAAATTTTTCGATCCAGATACTTGAGTCATCAGCTTCATATTTTGTGCACTGCGTATTTTGGCAAGACGTGGAGTAGTTTTTCTAGTTTGCACTGATGTAGTACCACTCGAACTACCTTCTTTAGCTTCTGAATCTTCTTTATTTCCGGTACTATTAGCAGTCTGTTTTGCACTTTTTTTGCCTGCAGATTCTCTTGTGCTAGTGTTTGTCAACATATTTACAGTTGGAGTACAAAAACTTGAATCAATAACCATATTATCCGTAGAACTTGATAAAAGAGACATTAAAGCAAGGTACGATTCGTTTTCTTCACGATCGTTCTATTTTGGAAAAAAACAATAATTTAATTTAATTAAATTTATTTTCAAAGGCAAAAATATTGTAACTTTTTTTTTACCTAATACAATAACGTCAAAAAAACAAATTTCAACTTACATTTTGAATATAATCTTGCCACATTTTAGGTAAAGATTCTAGGGGTTGATATTTTGGCTCCACCATAACATTATCTTCCACAATATAATGAATTTTAGGAGGAATGCTACCTGTTTTAAAATACATCTGAAACAAAGAAATGATCAATTCAAGCATTGATATAATTATATTTCAAATTTAAGCTTTTTCGTAGTAATGTTTGTGTAAATTTCATACTTTAACTGGATTAGGTTCTCGACTCGCTCGCAAAGTTATTATTCTTTCGTACAAAGCGCTTGGTTTTCTAACGGGCATTAAATATTCCGCAATTAATTGAGCTGCATCCATGAGTAACATTTTCTTTTTCCACCTTCTTTTATGACTCTCAATATATGGGCAAAATTCTGATACACCTAAGCCCAATAATCTACAATAATTTTTTAATTAGTTCTTTATAAACAAGCTTAGATTAAAAAAAGCGCCATTCGGCCATACCCGACATGGATAGGTAGATTTCTCGTTTGAATATTAAAAAAAACACGTTATTAAAAGGCAATAATGTCCTAAAATGTATTTTTTATCATAATTTTGCAAATAACGATATGAGACCGACTACAATAAATAAATATTTAAAGACATCTACCTAAAAAAATAGGATTTGTAACAGGATGAAAGTTTTTTGATAATAAAAGCTAAAAATTCATTTATTCTAGATTTTTTTTAATTTTCCCAACTACGAAATAAATTGAAAAATGGATCAAAAAGCGACGAATAAAAGCTCAAATTAAAGATAATTATGTAAATTTTAACATAAATTTAATAGATTTAAGCTATCTTTTATGACCTAAAAATTATTTGAAAAGAAGGGCCGAAATACGTTCATTGAAACATTTTTGAATATTTTCAAAGTCACGAAATTAATTAAAAAAATCATTAAAACTAGACAAATGATAGTTTATATTGAAGGCAATTAAATGAAGTTTAAGATA